AACAAGCCAATGTTTAAATGAATAATGTCATTGGTAGATATCCAATAGCATTAAACAACTGACTTCCTTCATTGGACTTCGACCTAGCTGACCTGTTTGACATCCGACTTGTTGTTGAACTGTTTGGTTTGTTGTAACTTGATCTCTCTGCAGATCAAATTCTCTGTCAATATCAATGGAGCTAAAGTAGACTTTATAGACCTACAGCGCATGCTTGATCTCCATATATTGGCAAAGAAAACACTTATCTATTATCCCTCATGAAATGCCTAATGCATAATGCTAATATTGAATATACATACTGAGTAATTAGGCCAGTATACATTAAACAGTTGCCTCCCAGCAACACTTTTTATGACCTAGTTTGTTTCAAGCAAACTGAACTTTGTACTTATGCATTCTCACCTTACGATGGGGAATTCAAAATAGTATTCAGCACAGTTCTCAGTGTAATCTGTGTCAAACAGATAAGACATCCAAACAGACTAACTCCCCTTAGTTGTTCTGAAGTGAAAAGGACCAAGTTTGACAGGTGAAATGCAATGTATTTGACAGCAAAGATGTCTACTAAAAGCAAACTAGTATCTTAAAAGGTATGAGGAAGAAGGAATAAGTAAGTGGAAAGTCCTTGAGAGTTGGTGCATCCTGCAGATTTTCAGCCAACCTTTTTGCTAATGGAGTTGCAGAACCGTCCCCTGTAAAGAGGAGAGGGACGCTCAAATGAGGCAGCGGAATGACAGGCAATAGACTGGAAAATATGAGACAGGCAGAGGGGGATGGACTCAAGCTGATGTGTTTATTTGCCACTGCGGGTTCCCAGCAGAAATCGTTGTGGGCGAATGCATTTGAAGTCCCCAATGCATAAAAAGAAGTCGACACAGCCTGTGTCCTACCATAAAAATATTTAGAAATCATTCACGCCCTCAGATTTTGTGACTGTTGGTCCTGCTTGGTTTCAGAAGTTCAAAGAGGGATTTAGAGCAAGGTTACAATCTTGATGAGTCATGTTCATGAGTAAAATCAATTTTCTTCAGGTTGAGCTTTGTCATTGAGACAACTTTGTGCTACTGTGAAGTCAATGGAGTGATTTTGACAAGTGAGTGGATTCTAAAAGTGCAATTGAGCTAGGTAATAACATAAGGCTTGTGCGAAGAAAAGCATCAAAAGTGAAGTTCCTTTAAAAGTGTCTCACAAACTGTAGTTTGTCACCTTAGTTGATCAGGTACCTGGTCTAGAAAAGCAAATCACAGCCACTAGGGATGAAATGTACGAAACAACTAACCAGCTATTGCTATTCCTGACAGCTTGACGTGCTTGTTTTGTTGGAATTACACAATCAAGTCTTCGTTCAGCAGTGAAACAATCACACAAGGTCATCTGGTAGCAAAATGCAATGTTATTATCTTTTCACTACGCTTTTCAATGAACGAAAGGATGCTTGGTGACGTTCTTGGCTGACCCCACTTAAACTGTTATTCTGTAAGAAAAAAGACACTGTGTGAAACATAAAATCTACCACTGAGGCAGCTTCTTAAAAAAGATACAAGACATAGATAATGTAGAGCATATTTGAAAGCTTGCCAAGATGATTCATTACATTACAACTAACTGCTGAGTCACGTGTCAATCAATTATGAATGGAAACATGTAGCGTTCCTTGTTAACCTTTCAGATTGTGCTAAGAGACAAAGCTGAAAAAGCAAAGTAACACATGCAATACAGCAGTTCTATATTTGTTGATATAGCATTGGCTAGAAAGGCTGAGTCATTGCTTCAGTTGTGCTGCCTTTTGATGCATGTCATCAGGTCCGCCCCTCCCTACAGGCCAATCACGCAGACTGCGTGGGGCCTCACCTCGCGGAGGGGGCCTCAGCTTGCGGAGGGGGCCTCAGCTTGCGGAGGGGGCCTCAGCTTGCGGAGGGTGCTTCGTGGAGGGAGCCTCATCTGAAGCGCAAATGCGGCGCACCTAGTGTAAGCACGCCGCTGCGAGGCTCCACTAGCACCCCCCCCGTCGACGCTCGCGACACAGAGGGCCTCATCATATAACTTTGCGTGGGGCCACAAGTTGGCCAGGGGCGGCCCTGCATGTCATCCCCCTCTCACTCTCCAATATATTTCCCCTGTTTCTATATTAAAGAGCCAACAGATAATCTTAAAATAAAGACAGGAAGAAATGTACATGAAGCAATAGTGGGTTGCAAGTCAAAATTATAATAAAAGTTTAAGGTTCAAAAAGGCTAATGCTAAACTGAAGGTTGAAAAAGTCAAGCTAATAGTAGTTTAAGGGTTACATTTTAATTTATTATCATGTGTATTAAATCATACAATTAAATGATTGTGCTCAGTGACACTCTCCTTTACAAAAGTGACACACATCCCCAGTCAACAATGAAAGAAGACAATATGTACAACATGAGGCTAATGCTAAGTGAGGCTAAGGCTAAGTTTGGAGTGAAAAAGTCAAGCTTATTTATGGTTATGGTTTATGGTTAAATAATAAAGCATTATACTAAATGTTTGAGAAGCTAAGGTTACGTTTGAAGCTGAGTAATCACCTTACAAGTGGGATAATCACTAAAGTTTAGGTTAAGTTATCAACGCTTTGTCTCGAGGCATATTGTCGATAAGACTTCTTAATGTGTATTTGATCTTACTGCCAATTCCTATCATGGATGAAAGTGCATTCATTAAATAAACGTATATACCACTTTCAACACACGTGGTGAATGTTTTGCCGTTTAATGCAAGGTAGTAGCTATGTAAAGTTTTGACTGTATCTTTCTTCTTTTTGTGGGGGGAGTAATCTGCACAGGAAGACACAAAAGAGAGGATGATGGAGGAACCATAACAAAAAATATATATGGTTTCAAATATCTCAGCACTTACACTGTGAAGCTGGTATTTTTAGCCAAGACTTTACTGTTCCCTTGTTGACCGAAGAATATGGTGTTGTCCGGCTCACTGTATGTCTATTCTGTTGGACGATGATACATTATAGCGACTATAGAGGGGCACTTGAAGAAAATGACTTCAAAGGAGCGAGAGAGATAGCAGCTGCCCAATCAGATCTCACTTTAGCAGGATAATAGCATTCAGGTCCCTCAAGGCAGAAAAGAGGATGTGTCATAAATTATAAATTTACTTGAGAAAAGATATGGATGGCGGTGTCATGCAATAATTGGCACAGCACTTAGCTCCAAGTAAAGCTGGCCGGTGGCTGAGTGATGTACGCTGCAGGCACCCACCCCGAAAACACGCCGAAGCGATTTGCAATGTCAGCGTGACACAAAGAGGCGCCCCCAATTATCATGTCGACCCAAGGCGATATGGTTTGGCAACCTCATTTCATGACCTGTACGGCAGCATGGTGGGGAGTAACCGAGATTTCAAGGCGAGAGGAGCTTCCTGAGATGATTGAATGTGCTCCTGGTAATATTCTAATGTCAAAACACACCTGTAATATTAAACTAAAACTGGTGTTACACTGAAATGTACAGCGTTAACCCTTTTCAGATGTGGAGTTGACTTTGGCACACATGATGAATTAAAATGAGAGGGAAAGAAAGAATGCTCACAGCCAGCCACGATGATTCAGATACAAGCGCTCCGATTTACTGGCAGGATCAAAGGTTTTTGACGAAAAAAGGCCTTTGTACTTTCAAAATGTAATGCCTGTACCCAATCCTGACAAGCCGCAATGTTGCTTAACTTTTAGGATCATTCTGTTTTCATTATTTATTTTTCAAACACTCTTTTTTTAGGGGACAGTTACCGAAGTACAACAATAATTCTGGTGTTTAAACCAGACATATACATGTAGGTTTATATGTTGATACAGAATTATTTTCAATCTCAAACCAGTTGATCAAAACCATCACTCTTAAAAGACTGAAAATCCCTTACAGACATACTGTACTTTACCAAGTGGCAACCTCCATGACTAAACGACGTTGACTGAACAACTCTTTTTTAATATTCAGCAGGGGGCGACTAATAGTGTAGAAGTCTACGAAAAAATGATGCTATTTCTCACTTGATGAAGTACTACAGTAATCATTTTCTTAATGAGTTTACGGTCCCATTGGCTTGCTTAAAGACCTTTTCAGTACAGCATGATAACATAGACGCTGAAAAAGGGTTTCCTTAGTGCATGGGTACCTTCTGATTGGCATGTTGATACTAGTTTGGGTGTCACCTGTCTTTTTGTATTAGGGTAACCATGGAATAGTGTGTTTCAGCTTATTTAAAGAAAATCAAAACAAAAATAAGTTTCAAATTCCCCCCTCCCGTTAAAAAATGGCAAAAGTCCAACATTTCAAGATATACACTTTTTTGCTTTTCCAGCTGAGGGTTAAATGAATAGATTAATAACATTGTGTGCATTAATAATGAAGCTGGAAGGGATTTAGCTTAGCTTCTAAAGACTGTATACAGGGGGGAAAAGCCAGTCTGGTTCAGACAAAATAATAATACACTTAGCAGCACCTCTGAAGCGCATAACCATTCGTTTCTGGTTTGTTAAATGTGTACACAAATAGGAACGTAACAGCATGTAATGGCCATTAAAACCCCAGCTTGCTGTTTTACATTTATGTGTGTTAAAATAACTATTGCATTAGATGCAAGCGCTTGCACCCTACCTAATTTAGAAACCCAATTTATAAAAGCTCTTCCAAGCCTTGCTGAATTAAAATCCCTCCTGTATGGCTTTTATAGCCTCAGGGTTGTTCTTTTTCAGGAAAGCCACAGCCACACATTTGTAGTCGCAATTCTCACTGAAATGTGTAGAAACCAGCACTTTGACGACTTTCTCTTTGTTATGCGTCTAACAATTCCTTCGAAATAATGCTACCCTTAGGGAATAGATGTAACTCCAGACCTCAGTCAGGGTTTGGGCGAGACCCAGTGTTCTGTTTTCTCTGAAATGAAAGAAATACAGACCACACATATGTATAAGATCGCTGCCATTGCTCATGCCTCTTCTCATTGTTTTCCTGTAGGTGAAAAAGTGAACAGATGAGGTGGAGGACTTCTTCCTCAGCACACACAGAGACATCACCTTGCAGCGTTCATCCGTGGGAGGAGAGGAAAGACTTGGGACTGTTTGTTGCCCTCAGGAGGAATTCAAGGTCAGTGCAGCACTCTCAAACACACACGCACTCTCAAACACTCTCAAACACACACACACACACACACACACACACACACACACACACACACACACACACACACACACACACACACACACACACACACACACACACACACACACACACACACACACACACACACACACACACACACACACACACACACACACACACACACACACACACACACACACACACACACACACAGGTTTAAGACAAATATTAGGAACAAGGGAGCATCTTCTCTCCTATTGGCTCTGTTTGTACTAAGATGAGTCAAGTGAGTTGATACGATTTTTTGCATGAGCTGCATTGCTTTCATGAACAAACAATTGCCGGTAAATGAAGATTCTGTTAAATATCTAACAGATATTGTTCGATGAAAGAAAAGAGACAATTCCCAAATGTCCTTTTGCTCCATCTGGCCTTTTTCTCTATTTCTCCCTCAATTGAGCTGTTCCTAATAATATGTTTCCTTTTCTTGCGTTGCCTCCTTCCTCCCATGTCCCCTCTTTAAAAATGTCAGATGTCTAAGAAAATCTTTAATCAACGCCTCCAAACAAATGTTGGGCCGTCCAAGGTTTTTTTTTTTTTTTTTTGTTCTGTGAAGTCCTCACACTGGGATGAGTTTGGATTTTAATTGCTTCCCCACAGATTGCTGCCTCACTGAGAAACTGGGTTAATTGCATAAGAAGACAGAGCCACTTGTGACCTTCATTGAATCCTGCCAACTACAGTCACTGCAGCATGTCTAATGCAGGGTTGCATTTACAGGTTATTTAGCCACGTCTATGAACACAACAGGGGATGGCTTGGGTGTCAGGAATGCTTTTTTATGAATGTTGACATGTGTTTCGAAACGATTTCAAAGTGTCAGTCCTGCAAAGTTCTCCTGACAGATTGATGTGTCCTGTACAGCTCCGTTAGCCTACACGTGTCAGTTGGCATATGGAGATGTTTAGTGTTGATCAGGCAGGTTGATTGGGCTGAGTGAATGCAAAGAGGGAATGGAAAGTAAACTTAAAATGTCAAAGATGATCAGTCCATCAATACTTGCTTATTTCAGTCCTTACTTAAAGAAAGTTAGCCAGCTGTTCTCTCTCATACATATTCAGTTAGTGAATGAGGGACAGCTCTTGACGGAATCAATCAAACCTTGAACTCTCTCCAGCCTTCCTTCTTTCTATCCTCCAATCCTTCCTTCATTAGTTACTTTTTTACCTATCTGTGTCATGTGTTCCTTAAGTCCTTCTTTTTGCCTGTACCTTCCTTCCTTTATCTTGTCTTCTTTCCTTCTTCCTTTTACCTTCTCTCTTTGTCATGTCTTTTGTTCATTCTTCCTTCCTGCTTTCCTTCCTTTCTTATAATGTTTTGAACGTTCTTCCCGTCTAACTTTTTTTCCATCCTCCCATTTGTTCTTACTTTCCACCTCTTTGTTTCCTTCCTTTGTTTCTTTCCTCTCTTCCTCATGTTCTTTGTCCGTTATTGTCCCAGTTTGTTTACATTGCTTCTTTCTTCTTTTCCCATCTCGTCCTCATGTTTTTTTCAACCTTCCTTCAATATTTCCTTTCTACCTCTTTTCTTTCCACCTGTCCTTGATTTTCTTAATTTCTTCCTTCTTTTTTCCCTCTGTCTCTTCCCTTTCTTTTCTTCTGTTTCTACTGTCTTTTCATCATGTATTGAGTCTCTTAAGTAATGTATTCCTGCTCTCCCTTGTTTGCTCTTATCCCTTCCTTCCTAACTCCCTTCCTTCATCCCGTCGGTATTACTGTCATCTGTGTTCCTTTTTCCACGCGTCCCATTTTTTCTCTACTGTTATTTATTAGTTTTCTCCTTCCTTCCCTTCTTCCACTTTTACTTCCATATTCCTTCCCTCACCCCTTCCTCCTGTCTGTCCTCTGTTCCTTACCTATTCCCTCATCTCTGTCTGTCGCCCCATGGATTTCCTGGTGAATATGAGGAGCTCACACAGAGCCAATGATAGCTGGAGATGAGGTTAGGACTGACATTCCCCTTAGGACTGGCGCCTGGCACAGAGCCCTTGTAGAATATTCCGCCAAATTACGTGAGAAGCTGCAGATAATAATACCTGTTTTATAGGTTGAGAAACCCAGGGAGCTGTGAAGGACGAGCAGGGTCAGGTGAAAACACACGGGCTGTAAAGTGTGTTTCATTGGCAGGGAGGCCTGGTGTTCAGATATATGAGAAGTGGGTTGATATTGGACTGAAAGAGCATTTGACACACTATGATTATCCCAAATAGTCCTAATTATTTTCAGATATCATTTTTATTTATTCACTGATTCTTGCTAATGGACTGCCACAAGGTATGTTTATGGTGAATAGAGTAAATATGAAGCCTATAGACTGGCAAGCATTTGACATTTATCTGTCGATTACCTTTGTTTTCACTTGAATGTATTCCCTTTAGATTGATGATTCAACAATATTCACTGTATTGACACAAAGGATGCTTTTTGGTAAAGCTTCTGCTAATGAACAAAGTCATGCAAAAATATTGAGGCTGCTAAAATGAACATTCAGAGTTTGACATTCAGACCAATGAATGTTTTATTTTGACTTTCAGATCCATCAGCTGATCAACATAAACCCCCCCCCCCCCCCCAAAAAATGGGACTCGCATTGTTTCATTTACAGTAGGTTTCTTTGTCTGCATTATAATTGACAAATTTAGCAAAAACAATGTTATCCTGCAATTAAATAAGACTATATTCATTACCTATTTGTATTATTAGGTGGTAGTATATTTTTTAAAACAGAACACATCCTTGAAAAACATACTTTTAATGACCTTCAGTAACAATAATCAATGCGTCTTATAATAATATCTATTAGGAATGCAAATGAGGAGTTTATGCAGGAAAGGTAACTTTGGTATTTTTTAACCTTGACTTTTCATCCTATGTTTTCAGTGTCTTACTGAACCAACTACAATGTAATCCTATCAGGGCAATCATGCACTGTAAATGCATGTATGAGTAGGAGAAGAAAGGTGAAATGTGAATGTCCCCCAACAGTCTACACCGATAGAAGCATAGGGACTTGTCCAAAGTAAACCTGAGCCTGCCCTAACTTTGAGCTTTATCGAAAAGGAAAGTCTTAACCATGCTTTTAATTGTGGAGATGGTGTCTGCCTTCCGAAACACCAACTGGAAGCTGGTTCCACAGAAGAGGAGCTTGATAGATGAATGCTCTGGCGCCCATTGTACTTTTGAAGACTCTAGGGAACCATTAACAACTCTTGGAACGTAATAGTGGGGCAGTTGTGTACAAAAGAGGATGTTACCTGGCCAGGGAGCAAGTGCAGAGCAGCTTATACAGGAGTAAAATGATCCTATTTTGTACAGTGTTGAGAGACGTGTTGGTACAGCCTGATAATCAGGAATTACAATAGTCCATGCCTTGAAGTAACAAATGCATGGACTTCAATCAATCAATCAATCAATCAATCAATCAATCAATGTTTATTTATATAGCCCAATATCACAAATGTTACATTTGTCCTAGTGGACTTCACATTTTCATGGTAACACCTTCTTGGATTTCATTTATTTTGGATAGTTCTAGCTTGCCGCTCTATTTGAAGTCTGCATTGGTAATGGTTTCTGGTATGGACAACCCCAAGAAGCATCTGAAGCAGTGGTTGATGAATGCCTGTAGTGTGTTGACTATGATGGCAATTTTCAATGTTTTGATCTGTACAACAGAATGGATTTGATGTTTGAATAAAAAATGTTCAGTTTGGTAATAATGTTGCTCTGAAGCAGTCTACATAATAACTTTAACCCACTGACCCTAACACAAGATATTTTCATCAGTCCCAAATGCCTAATTTGCCAAGTTTTCTTTAGCAAAGGTTTTGAGCTATTTGTCTACACCTCAACTTGTATGCCTCACTAAATAAAGGCCATATCTACCTGCATTTCCCCTGAAAATGACCACTGGCCATACTGTACATTGTGAGCTGCAGAATCGTCCAATATTACCATCACTCCGAGAGACACTGGGCTGTTTGTTTAACGTTAATTCTCTCTTATTTCAACTGTTGGGCACATGACCCACTGCAATGAAAGTGATGTGCCATCAGTTTTATGAATAACGCAGTGATGCATTGCTTTTCTCTGTGGATATATTTTGAGAGTGGGAGTGCTTGGAAGCCTTTCCAAGAGATCTGTACAAAGAATAAGGGGAAAAATGTGATTTGCTTTAAACATTACCCAAATATATTGAGTTCAAAGCAAACTTGACAGTCAGACAAAATCGGCTACATCCAAGAATCGTGCAGATTATATAAAAATTGGCTGATGAAACTGTCGCTCAGAATCCACCGTGGTGCTGTTTGTGTCTCTTCCTACTGAGCTTTGATCAACAACATTTCTGGATGGCGAGATCCCTGAATAGCTCCCCCTCCTGCAGCAGCTGTTTATGAGCTTGTCCCAAAACTGTCACCCTGGATGAAGGGTGCAGGATCGAGTCAGCCTATTCCTCAACAATCCTTTAATAGTCTAAATACTCCTGTGATTTAGCTGTGCCACCCTCAGATTGCACTGCCTGCTTTGTGAGCCATATTAACCTGTCTCATATGTGTGAATACAACTGTAAGGAACATGTTGATTATCATACTGGCATCATTACTGTTCAGACAATGAAGCGTTGGGTGGTTAGACAGCGCCTTGGGTTGCAATATGTGCTGCTACACAGAAACACTTTTATTTGTGTAACAGTATACAGGGAGTTAATGAAGTGCTATATAGGCTTCTTTCTATGATAAATACAAATCCACAGGAGGGCCTGGGGTAGAAACTAGGACATTCACTAGATATCTCAGGTGAATTGAATCCTATGGTGTCTTTGACTATGTACTTAAAAGATTGACAAGTTGACTTTAATTAAATGTTTTATGTCAGCTAAACAATATTAGGTTCAACTTAAGAAGTTAGACTTTCATCTAACTTAAT